TACCTTGAAACAGATCCATCAGCATTCCGTTTAATGCGATACACCCATTTGCAACCAATCGGAGTGCGGTTCTTGGGTGGTGGAACCAAGTCCCATGTACGTTGCTCATTCAAAGCAATAAACTCCTCATCCATAGCCTGACACCAAAAACTATTACCAGAGGCTTGGCGGTAAGTGCTAGGCTCAGTGGTAGGTGGGGTAGTATCAAGGGTGGTAATGGTATAGGCTTTAGGTTTGAAAATTCCAGATTTGGCTCGGGTTTGCATGGTGTGTGTGTTTTGGGGCGGGGGTCGGTTAACCGATTGTGTGTTTTGGAGAGGAGTAGGTGACGGTCGAGGGTGGGTTGGGGTACGGTTCTGGGGTTGGACCGTCTGTGGCGTGTCCATAGGGAGGGTGTCGGGCTGTCGTCCGTGACTGGTGGGACGGGTCTGGGGTTGGACCGTCAGTGGGACAGGAGCATGTGAGCCTGAGCTTGGAGGAAAAATAGGGGTTATAGGAGAGGGTTACGGGAGGGATGACAATTTGGGATATGGAAACTGATCCTCGATGAATCGAACATGACGAGAGACATAAACTTTTTGAGACACGGGTTCATAGCATTTATACCCTTTAGTGGTGGGGTGATATCCTAAGAAGACACAAGGAGTGGAGCGTGGTTGAAGTTTGTGGTGAGTGTAAGGGCGGAGCCATGGATAGACCAAGCAACCAAAGGCACGAAGGTGGGTATATGTAGGAGGACGGTTATAAAGAATTTCAAAGGGAGATTTGTTGGAGAGAGTTTTGGTGGGCATACGGTTGATAAGATAGTTTGTTGTGGCAAGAGCTTCGACCCAAAAGGTAGTCGGGAGAGCAGAGTCGTATAGAAGAGAAACAACTGTTTCAATGAGATGACGGTGTTTCCGTTCAGCGACCCCATTTTGCTCAGGAGTGTAGGGACAAGAGGTGTGATGAAGGACTCCTAAAGTTTGAAGGAAAAGGCCAAAAGCGTTATTTACAAATTCTTTGCCATTATCACTTCGAAAAATTTTGATGTGAGAATTAAACTGAGTTTTAATCATTTTTTCAAAATTCACAAAAACAGAGTAAGCTTCAGATTTATGTTTTAGGGGATAAATCCAGGTAAATTTGCTGAAATCATCAACAAAAGAGATATAAAATCGAAAACCGCTACAGGAAGGAACAGAGGTGGGACCCCAAACATCAGAATGTATTAATTGAAAGGGCG